GATCCCGACTCTCTGGCAGAGAACAGACACGCCCCCCCCCCCCAAACGCTACTGGAAGGGTGAAGGCCCGGAGCCGAGTTTCCAGAAGGGTAAGGCTCCTGCAAAAAGGCCTAAGCGGGCAACCACTTCACCTCCAACGCACTCCCGATACCTCCCTGAAGAGGAGGAAGAGTTCACCCTGCCCGCATCCCTGTCCGTACTGGATGAATGGCGGGCAGATCAATCCCCCTCAGAGGACGAAGGGGGTTGGGGCGAGGAAGATCCGGAGGAATTGGTGTACCGGCAGGATGCTCTCGCTACAACTACACCCCTCCCTCGGGGAGGACGTCTTCCTGGACTCATCAGGCGAACCTTTATTTGACCCACGCACCATCCGGCACCCCAGGTCTCCTGAGTGGTCCCTACCGGACCACCTGGCCCAGTTTGTGCATTACTGGGTTCGCAGACCCCTCGATTGGGCAGTATGGAAGAGGCTCAGGGCTGAGTGCCCTAGACCCACATTGCCGGACAAGGTCGCTATGACGCCCGAATTCGACACGATGGTCTCCACCTATTTGACCCGTATCGGGCGCGACCCCAAATTATCGGAGTTGGGTTCCAAGGAACTGGGACCGTTAGCCAAAGGGCTACTTTTTGGAGAACCCTTCATCAAGGAGCTCCAAAGGCACGTCAACCTCTATGCCACCCTGAATAAATCCCAATCTTCAATGAGGAGGGTGTTCCACACTAACACCTCTCGTGTTTTGGCAGGGCTGGAAGGCAGCGGGGTCGTGCCTTCAGCTGTTTCTGGCCATCGAGCCACCGAGGATCATCCTTCTTCCCCAGCTACCACTCTGGATCTTTTAACTCCCAGAGGTCGTACCATGGCAGAGGGAACCGGACACGCGGTAGAGGCAGAATGCCCGCAGGTGAGACATGTTACACCCCGTGTTTTATATACTTTTTATGGGGTTATTGCATGTTTTGGGGTCCCTGTGTGTTTTATGAAACTGTATTATTTCTGGCCAGCAGATAATTGAGCTTTGTGTATTGTAGCAACTCAATTATCTAGCCTGGCCCAGAGGAGGAGTTTTGTGTTGCATAAATTGTGAGTTCTGTGTGCCAGTAAATCAGTCTTGTTCCAGCATTAAGCCTTGGCTCATGTTTGGGGGATTGGAGAAATACACTCTGGGGATTGCTATAATCACTATACTCCCCAGGGTATGATCACTAAGTTCTGCTAAGAGCTTGTTCCTGTTCCTGTTCCTGCTCTCTGGGGAAAGAGAGGTTCACCCACTGGAAGCTGGATCCTGGCCTTGGGTCCAGGGTGGGTGGAGACAGCAGAGACCCCGGCGCAGTTGCATCGCTGGAAGTGGGGTCTGCAGTGCTGATGGTGTCGGTTGGAGTGCTTGGAGTCCTCAGCGAGCACTAGGAGCATCGATTGGCGGAGGTACTCAGTCGGAGTGCCAACGGTCCGTCACATTTAGTGGCAGCGGTGGGATGGCGTCCTAGTGCGAGGACCAGCAGCTCGGAGACACCGGTAACGTGTGGAGTTACGGATTTATAATTGAGGGCAACGCTAGCCTCTGCGCAGCGTCCCTACCTACAGCAACATGGAGCTAGCTAGACCCTGGACAGCAGCCAGTGAATTGCAAATCCGCCTGTCACAGTGCTATGAGGGTGCTGATTTCATGAAGGAAGTAAAGGCGCGGCTGGTCTGGTTTGGCCCAAACCCTTCAGATGAGGTGGTCCATCAAGTGATGCGCATGTTGAGTGCTGAGAACCAAGACGCACGGAACTTCGAGTACCAACTGTGGAGTTTGGGGGTATTGACACCCCGTCTCCAGCGACAGAGTGAGTTACAGGGAGAGGAGAGCAGCGACCTCCCATCCCAGCGGCAGTGCACCGTACAGAGGGAAGAGACAACCGGTCTCTCTCCCCAGCGGCGGCCTGAGTTCCAGGAGGAGGTGATGGTAGATCCCTCCCCCGTACAGCAACCAGCGTCCTGGGGAGGGGAGGCAACCGGCCTCCCTCTCCAACAGCAGCCGGAGGTGGGCGACCTCATAGACTTGTCCTGGGGACACACAGAGATGGCAAGCGGAGATGGGACCGAAGTCTCTCTGCCGGCCCTACAGGGATGCTGGGCAGTCAGCCTAGGTCCCCAGCGGCAGTATAATATACAGGGAGAGGAGACAACTGGTCTCTCTCCCCAGCGCCGGCCTGAGTTCCAGGAGGAGGTGATGGTCAATCCCTCCACCTTACAGCAACCAGCGTCCTGGGGAGTGGGGGCAACCAGCCTCCCCCTCCAACAGCAGCCAGAGATACCGGGAGAGGGGGAAGACCAACCTACCCACACTGGCGCAGATGGGACCGCGGTCTCTGTGCCAGTCCTACAGGCAGGCTGGACTGGCGGTCCAGATCCCCAACCAACCCCGCAGGGATGCCAGGAGGAGGAGGTAAGCAAAACTTCCCCTCCCCAGCTACATCCCAACCGGGTCCTGGGGGCAGTGGATGAGCCTGCGATACCCACTGACCCCCTCCCAGCAGAAGAGCTGGCATCTGGGAAGAGCTTTGTTAGCCTCTGCCCCCCCTTTTCCCCTGTATCAGAGCATGACTTACCACGGGTTACCCCAGTGGAAGAGCTGGCAGCAGGGGAGAGCGCCGCTGGCCTCTGCCCCCCAAGCAACACCAGCAGTTTGCCTAGCTGCACCAGGGAGACCGAGAGTGCTGCGCTGTCCCACTACAAACGTGAACCTACAGGACAGTACCATTTATTGTGGGGGGTTACTCTGCGTATTTTTCTTTGTGGGTGGGCTGCCCGACTAATCTTGGTACTGACCGGCAGAAGGTCAGGTACCTGTTTAGTCTTCCCCCCAAAGGGAAGATGTGTGACGAAGTGCCCTTCGCCACTTGTGCCTGGAGAGGACTGCTTGCCCGCCTCTTGCCCTGTGACTATGGCCCCTGGGATGTATTGCCCTTTAAAGACATGATTTGGGCATAATGGATTTGTGTTGTGCTGCTGCTGGCCCTTTAAGAACCATCTGGGGACATACTGTGGAGTTACTGGGTGGCCACCATTTCCTGTATCAGAAGCACATGGTGAGAACAATGGATGGCGGCCATTTTAACTCACAGACACTTTTCAACACGGTGCCATCTCGCCAGTATTTGGTGCACAGAGACATGGTGCAGTGGTTTTGGACTATACAGCAGGGGACACATTATAAAGTGATTGTTTTTCATTTAGCCTGTATATGTTCTGCAGAATCTGCATTAAACTGTATCTTCCAAAGTACTGAACGGATCTGGGTGAATTTTGGATATGTGGTTCACCCATATCCCCCGGTTCCAAGGATATATGGGGTTATTGCATGTTTTGGGGTCCCTGTGTGTTTTATGAAACTGTATTATTTCTGGCCAGCAGATAATTGAGCTTTGTGTATTGTAGCAACTCAATTATCTAGCCTGGCCCAGAGGAGGAGTTTTGTGTTGCATAAATTGTGAGTTCTGTGTGCCAGTAAATCAGTCTTGTTCCAGCATTAAGCCTTGGCTCATGTTTGGGGGATTGGAGAAATACACTCTGGGGATTGCTATAATCACTATACTCCCCAGGGTATGATCACTAAGTTCTGCTAAGAGCTTGTTCCTGTTCCTGTTCCTGTTCCTGCTCTCTGGGGAAAGAGAGGTTCACCCACTGGAAGCTGGATCCTGGCCTTGGGTCCAGGGTGGGTGGAGACAGCAGAGACCCCGGCACAGTTGCATCGCTGGAAGTGGGGTCTGCAGTGCTGATGGTGTCGGTTGGAGTGCTTGGAGTCCTCAGCGAGCACTAGGAGCATCGATTGGCGGAGGTACTCAGTCGGAGTGCCAGCGGTCCGTCACAGTTGGTGTTACTGACACCTCTTTGGCAAGGCCAGGCTTGGTTCCCAGAACTACTAGAGCTGTCATAGCGAGACCCGCTCCTTCTCCCGTCTCCGCAATTTCTCCTGTCGGATTCTCTGGGCAACCATCACCCCCTCGTGCTGGAGGGACATCTTCACTTGGTGGCTTGGACTCTTTCCGGGGTACCTGGAATGTCGATGAGCTATCGGGAACGGCTAGAAGCCTACTCTGGGACTCATGGGCTCCAGGAACGAGGAGATGTTATCTATCCGCATGGAACATATGGTGCCGTTGGTGCATGGAACGGAGTATCGATCCCTTTACAGCACCTGTATCCAGTGTACTGAATTTCCTTTGCTACCCCTTCGACCAAGGGAGGTCATATCGCTCGGTTAACGTTGCCAGATCGGCCATTTCATGTTCCTCTTCAGGGGACGCCCATTGGTCAAGATCCTTTGGTTTGTAGACTATTGCGAGGAATCAGACTGTCACGTCCGGCTCCTAAGTATGCATCACTCTGGGATGTGCACCGAGTTTTGGATTTCATTCAGGCGTGGCCGCAGAATCAGGACCTTTCTCTACGACAGTTATCGGCCAAATTCACACTTCTTATGCCTGGTATCTTTTCGTCGGGTCTCCGACATTCGAGCTTTTGATGTTAACGCATTCACCTTTTCTCCGGGTGGGGTGACCTTTGCGGTGTCAAGACATACCAAATCCGACTCCTCTGCCATTTTCGACCCCTTTTTTGTGAGGCCCCCAAGCTTGGTGTGGTTTCTGCTCTGTCTCGTTATGTGGCTGTTACTACCCCACTTCGAAGTTCCCTATCAAGACAACTGTTGATATCTTATAAACCGGTGTCTACCATTACCCTGGCTCATTGGATCAGATGGCTTTTGTCATTGGCCGGCGTGGACTCCGCTTTTGGCGCTCATTCGGTAAGGGGCGCGGTGGCATCAGGAGTCCTGGTAGCGGGTGCTTCCCTGGCCAATATTCTACATTCAGCGGACTGGTCTCGAGAAGACACATTTCGACAGTTTTATTTCAGGCCTACAGAACATGCAGCCTTTGCCCTTCTGGCTGAGCGTTGAAACTGCAAATATGAAGCCTCCTGTCATGCTATAAAATTGTAGATTATGCTAGCTTTAGTGTACCTATAATCTTAATTTTATTAATGACAGGAGGCAAATATTTCCCACCCTTTGTTTTTCCCCACCCTCGTGTGTTGTATTGTCTGGCAGGTTTTATATTAACAGAGAATTATAGACAAGAAAGGAAAGGGTGTATACCGCGCCTAATAGTTTATATATGTAAAATATACATACATATATTCTCAAATGTATCCAGAAGATTAAAACCTCGGAATAAAACAAAAATATAAAAATAATAGTGCAATACAGTTTAGTAATAACTTGAAGTAGTGAATATGAGCTATAACAGAGCTCGACTGTGATGCGCTTGGACGGTACAATCCCCGTCTCAGGATATGTAGTTGTGGTTGACACAGATGTTTCCAAGGTGCAGTGTGCGTGGTATATATAAAAAGAAAACAGCAGCCAATGGTGAAGTAAGTACTAATATCAGAATGAATAATAAATAGTATTGTACTTACATTTGCTAGAGCATATAACTTGCTCTAGTATAACCAGCTTCGGTGGTATAATCCCCACCAAGGATATACAGGATCCAGGAGATAGAAAATAATGAATATAAAAAGTAACTACTAAACATAAACTTTAAAATAAACAAACATGTAAAAACCATAAAAGGTATAAAAGAAAAAAAGTCCCACTCATAGGCGTGCGCAGCCTATTGTATAAGGGTGTGCACCCTAAAGCAGAAACACACACGCTGCGCGTGTATATATATATATATATATATATACACACACATATACTGCTGTGTGTGTGGGGGGGGGGCACTGTGTCTGTGTGGGCACTGTGTGTGTGTATGTGTGAAGGCGCTGTGTGTGTAAGGGTGCTGTGTGTGTAAGGGCGCTGTGTATGTAAGGGCGCTGTGTGTAAGGGCGCTGTGTGTAAGGGCGCTGTGTGTGTGTGAAGGCGCTGTGTGTGTGAGGGTGCTGTTAGTGTGTGTGTGTAAGGGTGCTGTGTGTGTGTATGTGTGAGGGTGCTGTGTGTGTGAGGGTGCTGTTAGTGTGTGTGTGTAAGGGTGTGTGTGCTGTATGTGTGTAGATGCTGTGTGTGGGGGGTGCTGCATGTGGGTGCTGTATGTTTGGGTGATTGTGTGGGGGCCGTTTAGTAAATATCCCCACTCCCTTCCTACCTTATGCCTGGGAGGGGGGATCCTTTCTGCTGCTTCCATCCCTGGTGGTCCAGTGGAGAGTGAACTCTAACCTGCAGGGCTAGAGTTCACTCTCGCGAGATCTGAGCATTGCCATGGCAACGCTCAGAATCCCACGAGAGGACCCGGCTGAGCTGCTGGTTAGAGCTCCGCCGGTCCTCTCCTGCCTCGCTCCCTGCCTGTGGGTCGGTGGGGAGGGAGGCTGAGAGCAGAGCTGGCGCTCGGATAGTGCCGGCTCTGCATGAGCCGACAGGGGAGATCCTGAGATCTCCCCTGCTGGTCTCAATATACATAGGCGTATACAAGCATATATAAACGGATCTTAGAGGAGGTTATTGCACACTTCTGGAGAAGTGACGCGGCACTTGCGTCATACCGGAAGTGACGCGGTGCTCGCGTCATACTGGAAATGACTCAGCACCATCTTTCAGTCTATGTGTTGCTCTTGCACTACTGTGGAACGCACGCATGCGCTACTGTGGAACGCACAGCGTGCGTTGCGTTCCAAGCGCTGTTTTCTAATCAGGGGAAAGGTTTAAAGAATGGGCATCTGTCACATCCTCATACTTATATTAGTGGTATAGTGGCCATCTTGATTAAGGGCAAAAAAAATAAAATGAGTGGAATGACCAAATATACATAACAAATATTAGAACACAATGATGTAAATAAATATTCATATCTAATAAATAGTATAATCAACAGAAATAATACACTATATAATACATTTGATATCCATAAAATAAATAATAGGGCATAGAAATGTTACCCATATAACAGGCATAGTGAAATTCAATATATATAGCTCACTGATTAAGATACAATAAGAAAGAATTTCATCCAAATATATATATATAATTATAGTACATAATCAGTGAACCTAAATATACATATTAAATATACATATTAGATGGTTCAATCCAAAAGTGCATTAGTGTAATATACACAGACAGTAATCTAAAAAAGACATAGATATAAAGCTAGGGTTGTTGTAAAAAAGATTGGTAAAAAGTTAAAAATAAAAGATAGTAAAAAATTTGTTGAAAAAAATATCGAAAAATATATAAAGAGGCAATACTTTAATTTTATCTTTATATAAAGACAATAAAAATTATAATAAAAATTATATATATTATCATAAACAGTTATATAAATCAAAATAAACATTCAGCCCATTCAGTAAGGTGTCTAGTTGGTATACCCATTGCATTTCTGTTTTTCCAATCTTTTTAACAACATCTCCTCCTCTCCATTGGTTCTTAACAATTGCAATCCCAATAAATTAGAGGTGTTTAGGATCATTATTGTGCATGCAGAAATGGACTGGTACTGAGTGTTTTTTTTAAACCTTTTTCTACATTCCTACAATGTTCTGCTATCCTTGGTTTTAAAGGTCTGATCGTTCTACCCACATATTGGAGGCCACATGGGCACTCCAATAGATAAATTAAATTTTTACTGTTGCATGTAATAACCTCTTTTATATTATATATTTTACCAGTATTATTTGACTTAAAATTAGTGATAGTTCTTTCTGTCATTTTTGTTTTTCTACAAACCGTGCAACAGTTACATTTATGAAAACCTCTTTTATTTAAAAAATTATTAATTTTGTTCGGACTCGTCTTTGTAAAAATTTTTGTTAAATGCATCCTAAGATTCGGTGCTCCTCTAAATATTATTTTTGGTTTATCTGGGATTATTTTTCTTAGGATCTCATCCTCCTTCAGTAAGTGCCAGTGTTTTATTAAATTTTTTTTCAATTGTTTATTTTTATTATTATAGTCCAATACAATTGGTAAAATAAAATCAGAATTATTTTGATTCACTTGGGTTTTTGCTTTATGCATAAGTTGATTTCTATTAATTATAGCTGTTTGATTAATTGTCGACTCAATCTTATTAGCATTATATCCTTTTTGTATAAAACTCTCTTTTAATGTATTAGCTTGTTTGAAAAACATAGATGTGTCTAAACAGTTTCTTTTAAGACGCATTATTTGACTTTTTGGTATACTATCTAGCCATATTTTGCTATGACAACTATCAGTGCTTATATAATTGTTTACATTTACATCCTTAAAGTGCGTTTTTGTTTGTATTTTGTTGTCTTTAATATAAATGTTTAAATCCAAATAAGTCACCATGGTGTTTCTAAAATCCGCAGTTAAAAATATGCCTTCTTTGTTATTATTTAAAAATGAGATAAAATCTTTAGCTGAACTAATAGACCCCCTCCAAACAAAAAAGAGGTCATCTATATATCGTGAATATGAAACCAGGCTTTCCACCCAGCCATGCCCCCTCCAGATGGACTGGTCCTCCCACTCCGACATATAGAGGTTGGCATAGCTGGGTGCAAACCTGGTCCCCATAGCTGTACCTGTCTTTTGCAAATAGAAACCATCTTTGAACCAGAAATAGTTATGTTTTAAAATTAGGTCTATGCCTTCAATTATAAAATCAATTTGTTCTTGAAGTATTGAATCATCTCGTTCTAAAATAGATCTAATAGCTTGACATCCCTTATCATGTTGAATAATCGTATATAATGACTGTACATCACAAGTAATTAGTATGTAATCGTCTTTCCAAGTAATAGTTTCCAGTTTTTTTAATAAATCTATCGTATCTTTTAGATATGATCTCGTTTGTCTGACGTACAGTTGTAACATTATATCGATATATTCAGATACATTGGAAAGAAGGGATCCCATACCCGACACAATAGGACGTCCTGGGGGATTATTTACATTTTTATGAATTTTTGGAAGGAAATATATAACTGGAATCTTGGGGAATTGAATATTTATATAATGATATTCTTTAACACTCAGGATTCCCAAGTCTCTTCCTTTTTTCAAATACGCATTAAATTCAAATTTTATATCTGCAATTGGATCTTTGTTTAATTTAATATAAGTTTTACAATCATTCAGTTGTCTAAAAGCTTCCACTTCATATCTTTCTTTAGATTGGATAACAAGACCCCCACCTTTATCTGCGGGTTTGATTACTATTGAAGTGTCATTGTATAGATCTTTAAGTACTTTCATCTCTTTTTTATTCATAATTGGTCTGTCTTTCATTTTTTTATTGTCTAAAACTTTTAAATCTTTACATACTTTCTTTTCAAATATGTCCAGAGCACTGGATTTGAGATACGCGGGATAGAAAGTAGATTTACTTTTAAGTTCACTACTTCTATATTGTTTTGTATTTATATTACCTATATCAGCACTTAGATTAGTGTTAGTGTCATTTTTATTAATATAGAAACGTCTTAAGGTGGCATTCCTTACAAATCTGTTTACATCTATATAGGCGAGAAAAGAATTATGTGGCTTGGTCGGAGCAAATTTAAGGCCTCGTTTTAAGATATTTATCTCAGTAGTATTCAGAACTTTATCAGATAAATTAAAAATGCCTGTACGTGTCTTCTGTAGCTTCTGATCTAAAAGCTTTCTAACCTTCCTTTTTTGGATTCTTCTGCCTGATCTTCTTCCTCTAATTCTCTCTTGCGACTTTTTATAGGTTTAATATTGAGACGATGGGTTTGTCTCTCTCTGTTGGACGGAATCTCTAAAAAAGAGGTTTCGTCAAATTGTTCGCAGAAGGATAAGGCGTGATATCTGTTGTTCCTAACTGGATCATGTGGTGATAATGGTTTTGTCTCATCTTGTCTTTTATAAGATTTCTTTGGGTTTTCCCAAGAGTACTTTCTGTTCCTTTGTTTTTGTTTAGGTGAATCTGGTATATATGTATACCTATGTGTTTTAGGTCTCACAATAAGAGGTGATTCATGGGCATCGTGATGTGTGAGGTATTTTTGTTTAGCTAACTCCTCTATTTTCTCTGAACGATGTGTGTTAGATTTAACTTCAAATGGTTTATTTTGAAAGTGGGTATTCTGGTAGTGTTTTGTGTGAAATCTATCATTTCTAGTATTATATCTTATAGGAGATTTGTTTGGTGATCTGTGATGACTATTGTGAGGGTATTTTCTCTCATGTGATTCTTTACTTTGTAATCGTTTAGGTCTAAATTGGGCGCCGAGTCATTTCCGGTATGACGCGAGCACCACATCACTTCCGGTATGATGCGGGTGCCGCGTCACTTCCGGTATGACTCGTGCGTTCCAACCGGAACCAGGAAGAGACACACCAGGAAACAATTTTATCAACTTACAAGCATATATAAACGGATCTTAGAGGAGGTTATTGCACACTTCTGGAGAAGCCTTATTAGGCGAAACGCGTTAAGTGGGACTTTTTTCTTTTATACCTTTTATGGTTTTTACATGTTTGTTTATATTAAAGTTTACTTTTAGTAGTTACTTTTTATATTTATTATTTTCTACCTCCTGGATCCTGTATATCCTTGGTGGGGATTATACCACCGAAGCTGGTTATACTAGAGCAAGTTATATGCTCTAGCAAATGTAAGTACAATACTATTTATTATTCATTCTGATATTAGTACTTACTTCACCATTGGCTGCTGTTTTCTTTTTATATATACCACGCACACTGCACCTTGGAAACATCTGTGTCAACCACAACTACATATCCTGAGACGGGGATTGTACCGTCCAAGCGCATCACAGTCGAGCTCTGTTATAGCTCATATTCACTACTTCAAGTTATTACTAAACTGTATTGCACTATTATTTTTATATTTTTGTTTTATTCCGAGGTTTTAATCTTCTGGATACATTTGAGAATATATGTATGTATATTTTACATATATAAACTATTAGGCGCGGTATACACCCTTTTCTTTCTTGTCTACTATTCACAAGGTTTGGAATCCTTGTTTTGTATACTGCTGCCTGTTCACCATTTACTATAGCGAGCGCCTATTCTTCTTTTTTTCTAATAAAGAATTATGTTTCTGGTCAGTGTTCATTGTGGTTATTTCATTCGTTATGTCTTTCTTTTCTGCCGGGCCCGGGATCTGTTCACTTGGTGGTGTTCACTATAATTTTGCTCTGGGTGGCTGCATGCTTTTTTACATATTTTTCATTGTCTAATCACGATTTTCGATTCTGTTTATCTCGTTTCAGTGTAAAGGTCCCAGGATGGACTCACATACAAGTTTCGACTCGGTTGAAGTTTCCTAGGAGAGTCGTTGTTTCTATCAAGAGATGGACTTTATTGTTACGTTATGTTTGTTTTTTCCTCGACTGTGTTTTGTTGTCGCAGCTTGAAAGAGGAAATGGAATGTTGGCAAGGGACTTATATAGTCTCCTTACTGTTTTCTGATTGGTTGTTTACTCTCTGGTGTTTTGCTGCTGTGGAGTTCTAGTAAAGAGAGACTTAAGCAAATATTCGCCTCCTGTCATTAATAAAATTAAGATTATAGGTACACTAAAGCTAGCATAATCTACAATTTTCACAGTTTTGTCTTATAAACACAGATCAGGAGATCTGCCGTTGGAGGATTCTAACTCAAATTATAAAACAAATGACAAGGCAAACAATAAATATAACTTACAACCCACAGTTATATTCCACTATCTCAAGATTCCTTTCACAAGACATAACACAACCTCCACTTGAATATAACCATAATACCACAGAAAACAAGTTCTTTAGATCAGACGTTTCTAAGTCGTTCTTTACTCAGACAGACTAGCAGGACGTGGATCTGAGAGCGAAATTGATAAAGGTAGAAAAAAAGTTTTTCTTACCTTGCTGTACAGCTGATTTCACTGTCAGAGGGACGTCCACCTGTACGCTAGTGTCCGAGTCTCTCGATCGTCAAATCCCGGGTTTCGGCACCAAATTGTTGTGGATCAGAAATATTGATCTTTGTTATATTCAGAGGAAGCCCAAATTGTTGTTACAATTTGAGAAGCGAGAATTAGACACCAGACACCTGTTGGTATTCAGAATAAGCCTCCGACGTTTTATTCATCAGCTTGGTTTTATACATTAAAAAGTAAGTGCTTACGTGCAAATACTCTTAGAACAGTAATAGGAAGGGAGTACCGATAAGACATAGGGATGAACGTCATGTACACATAACAAATAAGTTCTAAGGTAAGAAAGAGCAAAAAGATTAGCGAAGAGACATCATGGGGGGGGTGGGGGGGCTCTCTGCTCCCGGAACTAGACATATATGGTCTTAAGTGTTGTTTAAGAATCAAGCATTTCCTGCGTCCAAGTTAGCCAATTTTAATATAGGATATCATTATATGACACCTATAAGCTGGAGCCTTGGAATCAAGATAAATTCTACCACAATACTGTGCATAATTTTTAGGAAAAGGTACAACAAGATGAAGTAGGTTAACGTAGTGTTAATTAGGTAATTGTAAAATCACAAGGAGTGGAACACTTAGTTGTCACTAATTATAGATTTAGGTTGTAGAGAAATGCAAGTTACTCATGACATTATTCAAGCTTTAGACAAATAGGTTGTAACTTGTAAGTGTATCATGCGGGAAAGACTCTATAAAACAGCTTATCGCGATCTACTATGTCATGTATTTCCTTTCTCCCACAGAGTGGAATAGGCAGACACCTTATATGCTATTATTGACACATGTTTGTGGCAGCCATACAATTAGCAGACATAACCTACGGGTAACTAGACTCCACAGGTGCTTATTTTAACTAAAGTAAATGGAGAGACTGCAGTAATGTAAAGCATACTAATGGTGTTAAGAATGGGGAAACACTAAGGTAAAACAATATGTGTAACAATTGGTGATAAAACTTTGTGTGTATACCGCCCAATATGGCGCCATCTGCAACAGGACTAGGTAGATGAGTCCGGTGTAGTTCTTGAGGGACTTAGGGTGCAGGTTACCGAGCAGGCCCTTCGAGGCTTTAGACTGAACAGTCATCCAACACCCCTACAGGGGTCGTGTCCAAGGTTTGGGCTCTGGTCAATTTGGGGAGTGGTGCAGCTGTGTGAGGGCGAGGTGCCTCTCCAGCCCCGGAGCTGCGTGAGAGCCGGTACCCTCTTGCCATGTACCTGGAAACCCTTGCAGTCCAGGGTCTTCACGTTCAGGATAGTACGGTGGGCACTGCATGCCATCAGTGCGTTTCTTCGTTTGCACTTTGTAGCCCTCCTTTTGTGTGGCTGGTACTGTTGGGATGGAGTCCTTTTAGCTCTCACCCCAGGTGGGCAGTGTGTGTAGGTTGCAGATGCTTAAGACCACTTTGTGCCCTTGAGAGGCTACCCAGGCCTACCCTTGTCGCATTTTCGCTCTCCATTAGGCGAGACATGTTCAGATAGCTTCAAGAGTGTCCATGGCTTTTTGGTGGAGGACTGGTGAGTCTGACCGATGCGTGTGTAGCAGGGCCTGATGCGTCCGCCATCTTTGAGACCTCCGCTCCTGTCTAGCCTGGGAGTAATGCAAGACCCACTGAGAGGCTTGAACCTGTGTCAGTGCAGATCAGCGGGGACTGGGATATCCCCCACCGATCCAAAAGGTGGGGGGTGGGTAGGTGAGTAGCATTTGTACGTGTCTTGGTGCAGCGGGAGGAAAGCATCCGCCTTTCGCCCACACCATCTCTTGCTGCTGCGGCTCCTGGCTTCCCAAGGCTTCGAGTCAGGTATCAAAAGTTGCGTGCAGGAGTCCCCAGTATATAGGGCTCCTTAGAGTGAGTTTTCCCGCACCTCAGCCCGAGAAATCCCCGGGTATACTGCTCCGACAGCAGGAGCTCACGCGAGACACGTAATGCCAGTTCGCTTGCCAGGCTTCAGCCCCCCCCCCTACAATGCCTCTTTACTTTCCGTTTCTTCTATTAGTTCTTCTCCTGCTTATCACACACAAACTGTGATAGTGGATATTCGAAAATACTTTTTTTTTCTGCCCGTAGGAGTGCACGAAGGCTTAAAGCAGCTCTGTTACCCCATACTTACTTTGCTTCAATATATTTCTCTTAGCTTCCTCCCTCTTAAGTGGTTCTTTTTCATTTTTGTTTCCTACAAAGCGTCTACTTTGCCTTATGTATTTTTCCTCCACTTGACAAAAGTGTGTGCGTACCTTTTTCAAGTTTTGTCCCTTCCCTCAGCTGTCGCTAGGAACAATATATTGAGACAATATATACGGAGGCTCTTGTGTTGTCCTCAATAGCCATCAGCAATGACGCCTCATCTGCCAGTACCCTGTTGACTGGTAATAGGGCAAACTGTTCTGCAACGGATTGCCCTCTTACCTGGTTTGCCGTCTGGCTCAGATTGTCCTCCAGTGACAACAGCCTTTCTCGGCAGAGCTGCAGAAGCAGTAAGTCAATCCCGCTGACCATTGATTAGTTGAGAGTGTTGGCTAACCTCTCTCAGTGAATGAATGCCATTCTGTAAATAGCAATATACACAAAATTGACATAAAACAGCTCAGATATCTTCAGGGTGGCTAATGATGCCCCAACTGCCAAAGGCTATTACACCTAAATTCAGCAAATGGAAATGCTGCTCATACATACTACATGCACTGTCACGAGCGTGGGCTATGGGCCCAGCCGAGACAGTGGGGAGAATGTGGAAGTGACAGGGTTAATGACACCAGACCCCTGGTTACCTGTTGCTAGTCCCAGCAACTACTCAATTAACCCCTGCAATCCCTTCTACACTAACCCCCTAGTACACACTTTACTGCCACCACCAAGACTTTAAACCCAGGCGTCTTAGGTTACCCCACACACAGGAGAATTATAGAATCACAGTTCTACTTTTACTGATCAAACACATATAATTAACCCTTTTTGGTAACGTGTTTACCTGAGCTTTCCTCTATAGAGTGACGCTCATAGAGAACAGAGACACAAACTGATTAAGTAAACATTTAATCTGACAAAAAAGATTCACAGTGCTGAGTACAAAATACAGAAATAAATGACATACAGATAAATTGCAAAACAGTACATAAAATAAAATAGGAGAAAACACAAGAAATTCCTTACATATATCTACCCCATATAGAATTCTTGTGGGAGTCTTAGATGGTATAGGTCTCCTAGAAGTTGCTGACCAAAGAAAAAATGAATAACTCCCTGGATAGTCCAGGGGACGAGGGGGTGGGGTGGATCAGAGGTGGTTGGTCTGGCAGTTTATTGCTCACTCTATGCAATTCCTTGTGTCCAGCTCTGGTGATGGCTATCTAGATGTTTTATGGTCTAGGCCAGGTGCAAGGTCAAAGACCACAATAAATGTCATCCCAAGGTTTACAAAAAAAACCAACTCTTAACATATATCAACATACACCAACTCATGCTTTGGCATGACAGGCACCATGACCACTTCAAATCACTGTAGTGGTCATGGTGGTTAATTTTTTTTTATAACTGTACATTTCAAGCACAATACTACAGCTTGCAAGCACTCAATCACTATAAAACTAAAATGACACTGCAATTAAAGTATTTAAATACAAATACTCTTCTTCATGAATTTCTTTTGAATGTAATCAAATCAACTCTGATAACAAGATTGAACTATTCACATAGAATAATTATCAAGTAGTAATTGCTAATTATGGAATAATTTTTTTTTTAGATCAACCTATTTAGTATCCAGGTAGTGGTTGCAGCAGACAAATTACATTAATTCCTATTTAACAAAGGACTAGTTTCCTTTGTCACTTTATTTAAAAGAAACACAAAGGATCCATTAAGTAAAACATGCTAAGTAAAACTCCACTGAATCCTATTTATGTCACCATTGTGGTCTTATGTGCAACTACAAGTAAAAACAAAATAAACACAACTATGTAGGCTAAAAAAGATGGGAAAACAATTACAAACAGGGCTATTCCCTAAAGTGCATTTCAAATTTAAGGCCATAGCTGAATTAGTATTTTTTTCTATTTCAGCTACTTTTACCTTAAATGGCCACTATAGTGCCAGGAAAACATACTCGTTTTCCTGGCACTATAGTGCCCTGAGGGTGCCCCCCACCCTCAGGGTCCCACTCCCGCCGGGCTGGATGGAGAGGAAGGGGTTAAACACTTACCTTTCTCCAGCGCCGGGCTTCCTCGGTGCTGGAGACTCTCCTCCTTCTTTCCCCGTCATCGGCTGAATGCGCATGCGAAGCAAGAGCCGAGCTCGCATTCAGCCAGTCTCATAGGAAAGCATTCTCAATGCTTTCCTATGGACGTCAGCGTCTTCTCACTGTGATTTTCACAGTGAGAAGCGCGGAAGCGCCTCTAGCGGCTGTCAGAGAGACAGCCATTAGAGGCTGGATTAACCCTAAAGTAAACATAGCAGTTTCTCTGAAACTGCTATGTTTACAGCAGAAATGGTGAATCCTAGGTGGACCTGGCACCCAGACCATTTCATTAAGCTGAAGTGGTCTAGGTGCCTACTGTATAGTGGTCCTTTAAGGTTTAAATAAAATTTGAATTCTCACTTTAGTGAATAACCCAATAAGTAACTTAAAAGGCTTACACTAACCCTAATCTTTTGAGGCCAGACTAGCCGCAATGTCTTCAGCGGGCCCTAACCCTAATCCTCTGGATCCTCTGCCCGGCTTTATGTACCGCATCCACCTGGTCAAATTTACAACCATTTTATCTTCTTTTCCAGACACCTACAAAAGCGCTATTTGGAGGGGAGGTCGAAGGGGACATTCCCAACAATCGCTACCCAAGAGCCAGGTGAAGCCCCCTTTTCCAAGACCACAGACAGGGGCGTATCTAGAGCATTTGGCAACCGAGGCGGATCCTAAATCTGCCCCCCACCCCTTAACTTTAAAATGTAAGAAAAAAACACAACATGTTTTTAATATATTTAACACTGAGCAGTGTTTATGTATGTGTGTATTTTTTAATGTATTTAGCACTGGGCAGTTTTTGTGTGTTTGAATGTAAGCATATTTTTGTATGGAGTGAGTAAATGTAGGAGTGTGTTTGTATGTAGTGTTGGCATTAGAATGCAGGCGTGAATTTGTGTGTAGTGTGGTTTTTTAATATAGTGGTGAGTTTATATATAATGGTGGTGTTTCAATACATAGATGTGTTTGTATGTAATGTTGAGGTTTGCATTTGTGTGTAGTGTTGGCAAGATGCTGAGGTGAACGCACACACACACACATACACACTGACACACTTGAAGATATATCGACATACAGATACACAGACACACACACTGACACACATTCAAATACACAGACACATAGTTATTATTATTATTATTATGTTACTATTTATATAGCGCAAACAAATTCTGCAGCGCTTTACAGTGGGTGGACGAACAAACGTAGTTGTAACCAGACAAGTTGGACACACAGGAACAGAGGGGTCGAGGGCCCGGCTCAATGAGCTTACATAGTTACACACATGCAGATACATACACACAGTCACACACAGATACAGACACACATGCAGCAACACAGACACAAACACTGACAGATATTGACACACAGGTACACACATGCAGATACATAGATACACAGTCGCACATAGATACACAGATACAAACATCTATGTGCGACTGTGTGTATATGTATCTGTTGTGCCAAATCACCAAATTCGTGATCATAAGTACCTAATAAGGTCTGTAACGATACTGACGGTCACACTGCCCAATTTTCATTTCTAACCAAGTCTGGACTGCTCTGTTCTTTTCCTTCCCAGTCCTGTAATCAAAAAAGGCATTACTATAATTTTCTTTGGATTCTCATAAATTAACGTGGCTTCGACTCCAGTGTCTACTAGGGCAGTAACCCTTTGAACATTTTTATTTTTCCAATATATTTCCACATTTACATGGGGCCTGCAATCTGGCCCACTTGTCAATTATTACAAGGTGAATTGGCCTCAGGGGAACGAGAAGGTGCCAACTCTCCACTGGGCATTAGCCCTTCTAGGATTTCATCTAGATCTTCAAGGTGGGGCAATTCCCTCTCAGAGTAACTCTGTCTGTTTTCTCTCACCTGGGTTTTATCAAGATTAGGATAAAGAGGAGGAATCTTCTTATCTGATTCCTGTGCCTCTTGTCTTTCCCTCAGGCCCCGCATGGGATTTGCTATCTCATTTAGCTTTTTAAAGTTTCTCTCAATCTCAACCCCTGCCAAGGCGGGTAAGGGTATTACCTTGTAGCCTTGAAATGGGGGTGCTGTAGGTATTACAGAAGGGAGTGGTGGCACTGAGGGTGCCACAGGAGGAGAGGATGGTGGTTTCTCAGGCCATACCCATGGCATTTCTGTGGTTTGTTTACTTGCCTTTGCTTCCTTATAACGTAATCCTTTTAGTTTGTACAATCTTCACCACGTTGGGGTGTCTTTCCCATCAATTTGTTCCCTGCTTACCCCTTCCCTGAGGAGGGCTAGGAACATTTCCTTTCTACTTACCCGATCTGCTGCTCCAGGATTACCCTCCCTCGGTGCTTCATGGGGTGGTCTATAGCCTGGTGAATCTGTCCTATCTCTCGGAAACCCTGGGAGCCCAATCTCCCAGTTCCCCTAACTGCGTAATGGCTTCCGTCACTATCTGCAGAGAGTTTCCTGTCTGATTTATCAGCAGAGTCATTATCACCTGCTTATAAGCTGGAGGGGCAGTCTTAATTAGGGATTCACAGAAAATTTGTCTGCCGAATTTTGCGGCCAAAAATGGGCCTATCCCATTTCGGACGAAAAAGGGTCAAATCTGCCAAAAATTACTGAATCTCTAGTTCTAGAACGTGTCACGCTGTGACTCCCCTTGACTGTCACGTGACTCAGGGTCTCCCTTTCACTCGCATAGAAAGAGAAAAAAAAAACTTGTGACACATGCAGGAATGCACGGATGGGAAGTCTTGCGATGTTTCCCTCGGTCTGCTGTGCACTCTTCAAAGAGAGCCGAAAGAGTGGGAGGGGCTTCTGCCTCGTCATGTGACTTGAGCCCGCCAGATCCAGAGCTGCTTTAGCGCAAGCCAGCGGGGTTGAAGGCTGTGCAGAGAGTCCGGTCAGGAGAATCAAGTATCTGTGATACAAGCCAGCGTCATGCAAGTGGAACAGCTCGACACCGGCAGCGGTGAGTGGAACAGGGAACTCTCCGGCTGCTGTGGGCTCCACTTCCCATGGTGCTCAGTCACAGATCACTTTTTGGTTGGCTGAGCATGATGGGTAGCGCATTCCTATAGATATTTGCTAGGGATGACAGTGCTCTACAGCAGCCAGCTCCTCAATCAGACTTCCCAGGGGCCCCATGTTATCCCATGGCTGCAAGGAGAGTGTGTGTGACTAGTTCTTGGAGGCTTTTTACTCCGTTGTCTAATATTATGTATTTAGTGCAGGAATGTCCCTTTTCTAACAACATATGCTATTCACCATGGTAACAGACTTGGGGTTCTGTAAAAAAAATTATTCTGATGCAAACTTCTAAAGATGAAAAATCAGCATCAGGGACATTAATTTAAATTACATAGTGACGGCTCCATTTACTAAACTTTGCCCTGGAATTTCTTTTCCACAATTCCCAGTGTCCATAGAAGATTCTGCCTCAGAATATTAGTAACATTGTTCAACATGTCTGTCTGTTGAATGCACCTGTATAGACAGAGCATGTGCCATGCATATTGAATAAGAAATGCATTTTTTTTAATGACTTGTGGGAGGGCAGTTTTAACACATACCTGTTGCATTATCTAATTGATTTTCCTGCAATGTACATAAAATGTGTGCCTACAGAGGGAGTTTTTTATTTAATTGTAGTGTGACATTACATAAGGTTTGACATGTGCTCTTATTGCAATCAAATGGGTGTTACTTTATACCCTTTTATGCTAAAGTGAATGCAGGCCCATTCACTTGCAATCAATGAATATGGTTCATGTTCCCAGCCTGGGACGATGGTATCACTGTCCTCTTGTTTCTTATTCTTTTTAAACATTGAAATACCCTCACAGGGGAATCATGCACACTTGTATATGGATGTGTTATGTGTTTTACTATATTCACTTGAATGTGTACTTATCCAGACAGATAATATCTGGCTTATTATTTAACAGATCAGTCACTTCTTATCCAGGCAACTACCCTGGCTTAAGGTTACCACGATTACTCACTCTATGGCACTTATCCAGGTGCCTAGCATCTGGCTTATTGTTCCACCAAAGCAGTCAGACCTTATCCAGGCAACTATACTGGCTTAAGGTTATCGCTCCCTGGTCGGCACTGGCTTTCAACAGCCCTCCATAGAGAGTATAGGTGTTTCTACCAACCGAGTACAAATACGCTCATTCACACTTATTCACACCCAATACATGGTTGCACAATGTGAAACAATTTTTTTAGAAACTGCTTAAACTTTTTCAGTGCAAACAAAAACATATATATAATACAGTATATGTATATAGTGCGCACACATGAAATATTTTCAGCAGAGAATGAGAAGGAAAAAGTGACGGATCGTTTCGCTTATCATCAAACTGACACGCAGCAGCTTTTAAACACTTATTTTCCTCAGCAGAAATTAGCAGCGTACTAAGTTAGTTTCACTTATTGCTCAGTAACTACGTTGAAGCATCAAACAGATTTTAATCGCACACAAACCTATTTTTTTTACCCACAAAAGTAATATTGCAGATTTCACTTCCCCTACTCAAACAATTAGGGATGTGCATGGGGAAAATGTTTGGTTCGGTTCGGCATTCCGAAATTCGGGACTTGGGCAATTTGGAACTTTGGCACTTTCGTTCGGTTCGGCACTTCGAAACGTCAACACTTCGGCACTTTGGAATTTCGGAACTTCAGAATTTGGGGACTTTGGAACTTCTCTTGCACCCGCTTAGTAGATAACTCCCTAATTCCCACGATATTTTGGTCTTTCAGCCAAATGTACTAATACTAAGTAAATATCACTTAATATTAGTAAATTCTGCCCTTACTCGCTATACCGCGAGTAGGGGCATGTCTATTAAACAGTGAGCAGCCTGTAAAAAAAACAAACCTTTCCTCCCCCGTGGCCCCCGCCCCAGAGCGGTGGGTGGGGGCCCTAAATACCAATAAAGGGGGGGACCTAATTATCCACTTAAAATAGGAGAAGTTCGTTGTCACTCATAGTATTGGATGCAAGTACGCTCGGCTGGGGCGCACGCTGTGGACCTACCTCCGCCGGGGGGAAATGGTCCATTGAAGAACAGAGGATGCATATCAATTGCCTCGAATTACTAGCAGCCTCATTTACCCTAAAGAGCCTTGTGGGTGTATCAACCAATTACATCATCCTCCTGCGGATGGACAACATATCAGTGGTTTGTTACATCAACCATCTCGGGGGTACAAAATCAACAGTATTGACAGACCTGGTGAAGGAATTCTGGCAATTCTGCCTGGATCGCAACATCTTGGTACAAGCAGAATACATCCCGGGAATGTCCAATGTAGTGGCCGATTGGAACTCAAGACACCTACAGGATACCAACGATTGTAGACTGGATCCTTATGTCTTTCTCAGCTTACAGTCACTTTGGGGCCCTCAGGATATTGACCTATTCGCATCCAACTTGAACTCCCAACTGCCGAAGTTCTTCAGCTGGAGACCAGATCCAGAAGCCCTGGCGAAGGATGCATTATTACTATCGTGGCCCAATACGTGCCACTACGTTTTTCCACTTTTCTCTCTGATTGCCCAGACGCTGCTACACCTCAGATGCTTCCAGGCCTCATTGATCCACATCGCACTGCTCTGGACAGCTTAACCATGGTTTCCTACCCTCATGGAGATGTCCATAGATTATCCGCGATTACTCCCAGTTTACTCCGACCTCATACTGGACCCCAACGGGAACTCGCATCCCCTTCTACTTCAGGGACATCTCAGACTACTGGCCTGGCTTCTCTCCGGAGATTCTGTTTCATCCCAAACATTCCAAGAACAACTCTGGACCTCCTGGCGGGAGCTTGGGCTCCGGGAATAAGGAAGTCCTGCTTCCATGCCTGGAAGTCATGGAATGATTGGTGCGTGGAACAGCACGTGGATCCCATATCTGCACCTAGCATATAGAACGATAAACATATATAGCCATATCAGCGGGTCACCAAAGTTGGAACAGATTTCCATCAGGTAAATATACCTTAGTATGTCGACTCCTTTGTGGCAAATGCACGGTTCTCCGACTTTTTGAAAATTGGCCTCAGAATAAAGAGCTTTCGCTCAAACAGCTTAAAGAAAAATTAGTTATGTTGTTTTGTCTCATCTCCTGTAAACATGTCTCGGATGTTGGTGCTCTGGATATTACGGCACGTTCATTTACTCCAACAGGCGTTTCATTTGACATTTCAAGACGCACGAAGCCGTCCATTACTTCGGTCTTTTATTCAGCTTTTCCACATAACATCAACCTATGCCCAGTGGCCTGCCTCAAGGAATATGAAGAGAGGACCGCTTCAATATGTGATCCTATATATCTGTTTCTAGCATTTTGACGTCCATATCAACTAGTTTCTACAGTCACCTTATCTCTTTGGGTGAATATCATTGGTGGACATCGATACTTCTGCATACAGTGCACACTTTGTTAGAGGCGCTATGGCATCTAAAGCCTTCTCCTTAGGATGCAGACTGGAAGACCTCCTCCATGCTGCTGATTGGTCCTGGGAGTCTACATTTCGGGATTTTTATTTTCGTCCAGTTCCTCATCTCTCCACTACGGTGGTTGCACAGCTTTAAACTAGCATAATATGAGCCTCGGTGTCCTTTAATAAAATTACCAGATTTGACTAATTTCATGACATAAAGTCATGATATTATTAAGGACATGGAGGCAAGTATTATCCCACCCGACACAGGTATGTTACACCCTCCCTGGGGTATAGGTATATAATTTCATGAGAAGTATACAGTCATAATAATAATGTGGTTATTCACCTAATTGAGCTATTTCTGTAGATGTTGATGTGGAAGGATTGGATATAGTGCTCTGTTACCAGATGCACTGTGGATAGTATTTAATGTCCAAGAATATATTTTACCATTTATTTCTTTGTCTTTACAGCCTCTTAATTGGTTTTCACATTGATCCCTCACACTCTCGAACGGATGTGTGCAAGTTTTATTCTAAGTTCCATTGTTGGATTATTCCAGAGTTGCTGTTCTTCCCATCTAGTTGGTCGTCTACTTCGGTCTTGTTGGAATGTTCGTCGGCACCAGTACAAAAGAGGAGTGGCTTAAGGTCACATGGGACATTATAGTGCAAGAAGCATTCCTATTGGTTAATCTGTTGTATTATGGTTAACCCTCTAGAGTACATGTTATATTTTTTATTTAAATATTTAGAATATCCTTTCATTGCTGCTGAGGAAGAAAGAAAGAGATAAAGCATAATACTTACCTCCATGTCCTTAATAAAATCATGACTTTACATTATGAAATTAGTAAAATCTGGTAAATTCTCTCCAAATAGCATAACCTCAGGGCAAGACTATGAAGGAACATGAGTCTTTCTGTACCAGTACAGGTATGTATGTATTTTTCATGTTATGTTACACTATACGTACACAAATTTGCATATGCTGTTTGAATATAGCTTAATTTAGTATTAAAAACATGTTATTGACACCACCATCAGTCCAAAATAAGGCATCTTTATTGATCAAACAATAACATAATACAAAAATAACATTATAAAGCAAGCCATTTTTTAAGTTTTTTCAAGTTTCAAAATTCATTGAAAACAATTCAGTGATAAGAAAGAGATCATGCCCTTCTGTCTACTCAGTATATTCAAGAAACTAGCAAGTGTCTATGTCAAAATAAATTTAAACTATACAAGTATCAGGGACTCATCAAAATGTTTATCTTCACTCTACTGAAATCTAATGTGCCACAATTTCACATTTTGTTTTAGGAATTAGCAATAAGTTAAATTTCACTTTCATATATTATCAATTTGTTTCCCCTCATTTCATTCACGGCATGTTTAAATATAATTGCAAACATTAGCAACGAGAGAAGTCATCTTAGCCTTGTGCTATGAGAATTAGATTTTTAGCTAGCTACACAGATATGGTAACAGACTTATCCCATACCGCCTTACCACCACAGACACAGGTGTAAATATTTGATGAATGCTAGTTCTAAATATCAAATTTCACAGCTATTGATTAGGATTACATGGGTAACCTAACAACCATAACAACCTAACACCAGATAGGGTAAATCCTGTTGGTGAAAAACCAAACACACAAAAAACAGCAGGGGACTTTGTTGATCAGAAATTATTCCAATACTGTATATCTTTTACTTTATGTATGCAAATTGAACTTTCTATATTTAATTATTAGTGCACCTATAACAAGGGCTTACTTAAAATTCACTCATCAGACTGAATAAAACTGTTGTGGAAAGTCCTAGCAAACAAATTACACTTTCCTATCACATTTCATAGCAGACAATTAATCCTAATTCAACTATAAGTCTAGGTTTAGTGTGGGAAATCCAAAGATGTATACCAAACACTGTGTGCCCCCGTCCCCCCCGGCGATAACCCTTAATTAACCCGTTATTCACTTACCTGATTCCAGCACAGATGTCCCTTGGTGCTGGGCCACTCTCTGGCTCCTCTAACTTCAGCCGATAAGGGTGAACTTAACGCGCATTTCTGAAGAGCACATTAGGCCTTCCCATTGCAGAGCGTGAGGACAGCCACGATCGTGTTACCGAGACAAACTCAGTAAAACTCCAGGAAGAGCTTTAAGTGACCACCAGAGTTAGTTTTATTACTGCAATGTAAACATTGCAGTTTCTCTAAACCTGCAATGTTTTACATTGCAGGACAAAACAGAACAGGGACACGGTACCCAGGCCACTTTAATGAGATAAAGTGGCCCTATAGTGTCCCTTTAATAAATACAAACCAAGAGTATTCATCTGAAATAAGGCTGTTTAGTATTTCTAATAGATATAACTCTATATGTATATATTATTCGTCCTCAAACGGAAAACAGAAATAAAACTGAAATGCCCTACTTTGTTTATCAACCATACGAGTCACATAATAGCAGCAACATTGTATGCCACAAATAGGTATCTATTTCTGAATGAGCAAACCACAAATAAGGTTACACGTTGGGTATCGATAAAAGTCAATATTTCTTCACCACTTAACAAAATTTAAAGGACACCAATTTGTCATCATATTATCACTTCTCATTTTTTAGACGTTTATTACATTTAATTAAACTTAAAGGACCACTATAGTGCCAGGAAAACTCGTTTTCCTGGCACTATAGTACCCTGAGGGTGCCCCCACCCTCAGGGACCCCCTCCCGCCCGGCTCTGGAAGGGGGAAAGGGTTAAAAACTTACCTTTTTCCAGCGCTGGGCGGGGAGCTCTCCTCCTCCGATCCTCCTCCTGGGCTGAATGCGCACGCGCGGCAAGAGCTGCGCGCGCATTCAGCCCGTCGCATAGGAAAACATTTACAATGCTTTCCTATGGACGCTGGCGTGCTCTCACTGTGAAAATCACAGTGAGAAGCACGCAAGCGCCTCTAGTGGCTGTCAATGAGACAGCCACTAGAGGATTAGGGGGAAGGCTTAACCCATTCATAAACATAGCAGTTTCTCTGAAACTGCTATGTTTATAAAAAAATTGGGTTAACCCGAGAAGGACCTGGCACCCAGACCACTTCATTAAGCTGAAGTGGTCTGGGTGCCTAAAGTGGTCCTTTAATTATATTTTTATCTAACTGAGCAGCCTTGTTCATTCAGACTCTACTTTTATCTGACCAGCTCAACTAACTTGCCTGCTCCTGCAGGTTTACACAGAGCAAACACAGCGACAGGCAAGTTAGGTTGAGCAGCAGTTACAGTGCATACATTTCCCTTTAAGACTTTGGACTTGTTTTAACAGAATGAAAATCAATTTGTTAAAAACAAAAAATACATACATTTGCTGATGAGTAAATTTAATATCAATTTATCCATCATGCCGTCCTCCTTTTAATTCTTACAAATCACGGTGAAGTCCTACACATGGACTAAATAACAATTTCCAATAAATCAATTATTTTATCCATGATCTTTCTCATATATACATATGAATTTGCAGACATGGTCAGATGCACAATGCCCTACTATGTACACAAGTAGAAAGGCATACCGTGTGTATCCATCTATTTTTAATTATTCTTTCATTTTATTTCCTTTATTATAGTAGCTGCATTTTATTTTGCATTTTAACTTCGTTTGGCATTGCCCACCAAATTGTAGCCTCCAGCATGCATTATATATAGCTTATATCCATTGGGCTATGACAGCTATTTCTTTCCATATCAATAATGTATGCATTTTCTACATATTTCAGAGACTCCATGTCATAAGCATAACAGAGAGCTTTTGTAATCAACAAATATATCAAGAAATTGTGATAGCCAAATGGCAGAATATCAAGTAGCATAAATTTTTTTTTATTTACTTAAAGGGACACTATGGTCACAAGGACAGCTTTAGCTTAATAAATCAGTCATGGTGTATAGCTCTGCATAAACAGAACCAAAAGTGATTTTAACTCCTAAATGGCAGAGAACTGAGCAGTGAGACTGAATGGGAATGATCTATACACTAAAACGGCTTCATTAAGCTAAAGTTGGTAGTTTGGTAGATATAGTGTCCCTTTAAGATCTTGTTCCTTTGCTGTTACATGTTAATGCTGGATGGTAAATTCCTATAAGACTTTGTTATTTTATGCATGATAGAGTCTATTTAATATGACGTGCTGTGGTGGAAACAAAGTATCCATGATTAAAAAAACAAAACAATAAATCAATCCAGTAGACTATCTTTAAGAACAATGATAAATATCAATAAAATACTTCAGTATGTTCTATTAAATACTTCAGAAGAGTTGACATATCAGCAGTATCTTTATGACAAGGAGGTTACCGTTCCTTGTTCTCAAGAGGTTAACAATATTACATTTTACAGTACATATATCATATAGAATGGAGATCAAATGGTACACACAAAAAATATCAACCCATCTAATAAATTAGTCACTGTATATAAATAGCGTATTTATCTGTAGATAATTACTCAAGATAAGCATGTTATTAATGCAATAATTATCCCCTGAAATGCAGCTCTGGACATTATCTATACATTCTCGGTATCAGAAACTTAATAAGGCCTCTAGTTTTATTTATTTATTAATTATATTTTGACTCAATAGTGCTTGAAATAAAATGGTATGGTTGAGTGTTTGTGTTTTAACACTAACCTTGCCTTTCAGATTGCCATAAGTCAAGCTCGTGCGGATGATCCCATTGAAAGAATACTTAACACCCCTATGGCTCAACGGCATCTCATCTGCTTTGAGGGAAGCATCCTTAATTGCCAGATGCATTTTAATTAAATGTTCAAAAAATTGCATTATATAACTCCAGACTTTACCGACATTCTTCAAATAAGAAGAAAGCCAGCTATACAATCCCCAGAAAATCTTGTTCACTTGAGTCTACATTCACTAAGAGCCCTTGAACACTAGTGCAACTAACGTGTGAGTGCTATTACACTCATTGACACAATAAATGATAAATGTATGTACAAGTAAGTCAAATCATTAGTAGCTCATGCTTAACTTAACTGCATGTACCTGGTAAGTCATTGTTAACACAATCATTGTTTTAATACACAGACGGTTAATATGTACCACTCTACTGGGTGTCGTATAACTTTACAGATCAATGTTTCAAACACAAGACCAAAACACTGATCTGCAAACAGAAGTGAGTGTCAGTGTCCATCATAACATTATATGCACTATATTTAATGACCCACACACCTATAATCACACACACAATATATGTCTCGTTTAGTGTGCCCACTGTAAGGCCTCTGTATCACTGTTTAAAAACTGTCTCATGATCCCGTTGACCTCTTGTGGTTGGTCTTGTTGTACCCAGTGGCTAGCATTGGATATAATGGCAGTCTGGAAGGGAGCATGGATGTACTGTTTCATTTCTGGCACCATGTCAGCCTCTAAAAAGGCATCATTCTCCCCCCACAGTAGGAGTGTTGGCACAAGGACATCCTGAGCTTTCACCGGGAAGAACCTGCATATACAAAAGTCAAGCTGTTAACAAAGTCTGATGTATGGTACAGAGTATAGCAGTAACTTGGATGGCAGTGATCTGATGTTTGGCAAAGAGTATGACATCAACCTGGATAGCAGTGATTGGCAGTCTCAGCTAATTGCCACTGTTCAGTTTGGACAGAATGAAAAGAGAGGAAGTGTAAATCAATGTAGCTGAACAGGGGGTGGCCATTTGGTGTCGCAAAGAGACTTGAGGCAAAATAACCAATACACCAAGTCGTAGGAATTAGAGTGCCCCTTTAAATGTGTGCTGGTAAACAAACCACATATGACTGCGTATTGGAATAAACTCACAACATAATTAGTCGTTATTGGTTGAAACATTGGCTATTACTCATCGAAGCCATCCCAATTGTTACACTGCAAAGAATAGTGAGTGTTGAGCTTTAAGGGAGAATGACACTCAATACAATTTGAGCATATATGGACAAACTTAAGCCCCGAGTCAACATTGAGTCTGAGTGTGGTTTCCCAATGTAGAATTATATGGCATTGTTTTGCCTGTAAATCCTCACCCAAATATGTTCCTGTAATAGTTAAGTGGGGGAGTCAATGCTCCCTTCTGGGAAATGTAGTATAGAAAGGCATCTGTCTCTTCTTTATTCAGTTTTCGCTCTTTATTCTGTATCCCTAGAGTGGGATCTGTCAGTGGTCTCCTTATGTGCTAATGAAGAAAAGTGACAATGAGCATTATATTATATTATATATAACTACTTTCACCAGGTCATTCATCACAGCACACCTTCTGCATTGTTTAGCTATGTGTCATACATTTATGTACCACCCTACAGCTGGCCACTCATTAGTCACTGTGTTATTATAGGGCGCTGGTTTGCCTGTAATTCCTAAACTACCATTATGTAACTCTCTGCCACACACACAATGACACCTTAATAACTGTCTGGCACTGTCCTGTTATCTGTAATACCTTACCTGTGCTGTCCATGACACTCAGTAATCACTGCACAACTGCATGGCACTCTTCAGTTATCTGTAATGCTTTAAATAGCTGCTAGTCTCATTGGTCACTGCACATGCATCCATTTGGCTAAACCAGTTATCCATCTGTCATTAGACCATTACCAAAAGGAAAAAATCTCAGGCACCCACTGTGATAATTTCCGGCAGATTTAATGGAGACAGCAACATTTCGAACTGTTCCCAGGTCTTCATCAAGCTTGTTTTCCCTCTTGATATTTGTTTTATGGGGGAAGCTGACCCATACTCAGGCAGCACCCTGTGATTTAGCGCAACCCTCTTTTTTCTTCTGGTACTTATTATACCATTATCAGTCACAGCTATGTACCAATGCTATTTGTTACACCCAGCTATAACTAAGCGGCTGCTACTAGACTTGCCTTTGTGTACAATATGGCACTGCAGCTGGCTGCCAGCCCATGTTCTCACAGTCCCTTTAATTTCCCTTCTGTGCCAATTTAGATCATATGTGTCACAGCAGTCACTGGAAAATAATTGGCGTATCTCAGGTCCTATATTTTCAACACAGTTGCAGCTTACCTCAAAGTCACACATAGACAGTAGGATCTCGGGCAAAATAGGCAACTGGAATAGGAATACATAGCGGGACAAAAAAAGCTGAGAAGGATGCAGCAGCACATAATCTGGGGAGAGAGGCATAACATCACAATGGATTATAAAACAAAAATGTATAAAATCTCAAACTTAATATATGTTCTCAATATCAAACTTAGCCAGTCTCTACAGATTGACCAAAATAAACAAATATAGTGAGTCCCTGTTTTATCAGTCCATCCCTCATCTATTCACATGAAGCCTCTATTAACATTACATTAGAATACCTTGATTTGGAAATACATACATAGAGGATTGCTGGCAGTTGCAATGGTAATAAATAAACTGACAACATATCAGGAATTGTCTGGTCAGACCATGCATAATTTTTTTCAGTTGCCAATTTATTACACTGTGTGAACACCTCTTTTAATTCCAAATAAATTACAAAATTTACATAGGTTTAAACTGTCCCCATTAAACTGAGGTTTTCTTTAGTCAGATTATATTTTCAATAGATTATCTACTCATGGATCACACTATTCACTGTCTCTACTATTACTGAAGATATTGAGATTGGATGGATCACCATGAAATGCTGACGGATGAGGTGCATTCATGACGATGAGACGAGTGACCATGTGACTGTAACGGACTGAAAAGGTCCAAGCGAGAGTACCACCCCAATCATGGCCAACTAGGACACAGCTAGTGTAACCTGTGAAGACAAAGTAGAACAATTTGTTACCATGAAACATGCACATGTCCACTTTGCTCATAAGACAATCTCAATTTCATCTATATATTAAACGACCACTATAGTGACAGGAAAACAAACTTGGCAAGAGCCGCACGCGTATTCAATCAATCCATAGGAAAGCATTTCTCAGTGCTTTCCTATGGATGGCAGCATCTTCTCACTGTGAAAATCACAGTGAGAAGCGCAGAAGCACCTCTAGCGGCTGTCAATGAGACAGCCACTAGAGGCTGGATTAACCCTATTGTAAACATAGCAGTTTCTCTGAAATTGCTATGCTTACAGCTGCAGGGTTAACCCTAGATGGACCTGGCACCCAGATCACTTCATTAAGCTGAAGTGGTCTGGGTGCCTATAGTGGTCCTTTAAATCCAAATGAATGTACTCTAGTGTCTTAAGTTCACAGACACTACGCTTTCCACATATGTTCCACAAAAGTGTGTATTTCTCTATGTAGGAATGAAGACATATGCACACAGGACAATGTTTGCTCATAATATACCTGCAAATAGATCAAACATGAAATTGCTTGACAACTAGAAATAGTTTCTTGTTATCAGATTTCTCACCCAGTCCTAAGATCAGATCTTGCACATCCTGTAGCAGGGTCTCTATTTTATAATCACGCAAATCAGGGGGAGCATCTGAACTCCCAAAACCTCTTAGATCAACAGCTACTGTCCTGTATCCATTAGAGAACTCATCCAGTTGGTACCTCCATGAGTACCTATAACACAGCAGGACATTGTCATTGGAAAGAGAAAAACATTTCTTCAAAGAGTACCACACGAGGCAAGAATGTTAGTTTCATAGAATGTGAAGTGTATGGTGGTAAATTACTAAATGACTATTTTTATTTTACCAGTTCTCAGGGAAGCCATGCAGGAGCAACATTAATGGACTTCCTTTGTCTCCAGATGCCACATAATGGAATCGAATACCTGAATGCTGTACAAAAAGTCAGAAAAAACAACATTAGTTGCTTGCTAGTCAAAAGCATTTGTTATATCACCTTCACTGCCATGTGACACTCACCTTAATTCTAATATAGCCATGCTGCCCATGCGTACTGCTCATTAGGCAGTGGGGGGCAGTTTTAAGGGGTGCCCAGTAAAAGAATCTGAAGGGTCGTCTAACCACTAGCCTCATAAAATCAGGAATGTAGGAGGCTGCAGAGAGGAGAGCGGCTGTGTATACCAAGATCCAGAACATCACACCCGAAACTCGCAAGGCAGTCCGGGTTACCATCAGGAGGAGGCGAGACAAATAAATCTGCATTGCTCACACTGTTGAATTTCCTAAAGGATGCTGGGAGAAGAGAAGTATATATATATATATATATATATATATATATATATATATATATGCATTCAGCATGGATTATCTTGATTATCTTCTAGTCAGGATATACCAAATTTAATTCAGTTGCCAATGTATGACATAGCATGAACACATCTTATATTTCCTAATAAATCTCAGAAGTCACTAGTCTAATACTATCCTTACCTTTTTGTGTCATTTTACCTCACTCCCTCTAGCATGTAAGCTCATTGAGCAGGGCCCTCAACTCCTCTGTTCCTGTGTGCCCAACTCGTCTGGTTACAACTACATGTCTGTTCGTCCACCCATTGTAAAGCGCTGCGTAATTTGATGGCGCTATATAAATAACATAACAATAATAATATTTTTAAACTACCATTTTTACATTATTACATCTGTTTCCCTCCACCAGCTGTTAAAGTTGTTCTGTGTCATATATACTACTTGGTGGGATCTGGTGAAATATAAGACATTCTCATGAAGCTCTTCCTTATCAATCAATCAATACTTATCCGTCTTCCTTCCATCTCCAATTTATCTGGAATACTTCTTACCCATGCCATTTACATCAAGCTTTCCATAAGATATTCATAAGATATGCCTGATATCTGCTTGTGTGGTATGCAATGAATGCACCATAACCACTACAATGTGCTGGCCAGGAGTTCCCTGACACCCACTCATTAAGTAGAAAAGTTTGACTTCTTACCCGGAGTCTGCCAGGCACTGCTCCCTGTCTGCACTACTTCCACCATAGAGCCAGAAGCTCCACTAAGCAGGAGTTTCTGTTAGCAGAACAGGGCTAGTTTATTGGCTGAAGACATCAGCTTATCACTCTCAGCCAAGGAGCTAAACTTCTTCTGTCTCTCAAGTGGAAACAGTGCAGGCTGGGTGTGAAGCCTGACAAACCCCAAGTAAGAAGTCCAACCGTTCTCAAACAGGACACTGAAAGCACAATAACCACTAAAGCACACTGTAGTGATTATGGTGCTTGGAGTGTTCCTTTAAATGTAAAATTCCCTTTTAAATCATTTTGGATTACCTAACAATTTTCACTTTAGTTAATAACTCTGCTACATTTATAGCTCCTGTCTCCCTGCTCAATGTAGATTACTACTGTAATATTTTACAAAAATCACTACAGCAATAATCCTACCCCTGGAACAGTGACATCACGGGCAGGATTATACTTCCACCAATGTCATCCAAACTACACTCACATATTTCATAGTGTGTGCTGGGATCACAAGACAGTTTGGTGTGCATGTTCTGTGACCATAATACACCACACAGTGCCCAAGGCTGTGAATAGCAGATAGCTGGAGCAGATTGCCTGTTAAATTCAGCAGTTTCATTCACTCAAAAATTGTGATCACTGTAAAAACGTGCTCACAGTCATTACAGAGATGAGGCATGCTTGTGAGATTAGCTGGGTTGCAGGATCTGTATTTATGTTCAGGGTTCTGTTTGTTAAAATGCAGCACTCAGCGATATATTGCTTTATACATGTCCCTAATTGAACTGTTGATGTGGCAAACCTAGATATTAACAAAATGATGTCATATTTTTACATAGTGTCTACGCATGAGTAGACCATTCTAAAACTCAGAACAGGTACACATTGATTTTGGCATTAATATGACTATACTTTATTATATCCTTTTATAATAGCATTCTATATCATACTGGAAAGCTATAATGAGCTTTGACAAAATGTGCTTAGTAAATTCATGCATATACAAATAATACAGCATGTTACCTGCTATATAGTAGCTTTTGTCTTCTACTCTCCAGAGGACACCAGGCTAACCCCGCCCACTTCCTTCTGATGACCACTGCATTGGTTAGTCCACCTGGCAATCTACCAATCACAACAGTGTTCTGAGTGTGCATTGGCTGGCTTCAAAATGCAGCAGGGTTGGTAGAGGCAGCAAAGCTTAGTCGTTCTGTAGAGTAAAGTTCAACATTGTGGGCGGGGCAAAAGAAAACTCGGTGCCTGCTGATTGGCTAAGCCAAGCAATCAGCTGCTACAAAGTTGCTATTATCATATTCTAAAGTGACACAGTAGGGACTGTGCAATGTTATCTGATTAGTTGGTATATAGCTCCTATAGCCAGCAGAGCAATGCAGCTCTTGGCATAGCAGAAGAAGGTACCACCAATATCTACACATAATAATAATAATACAAATAGTATTACTCCTAATAAATTCTTCCAGAGGTATTGATGCAGGGTAATTATATTAATATATAATATATTAATTATATTTTACCTTACAGAGCTCATGTAGAAATTAATACACTTAATTGCTCAATCCTACATGTCAAATTGCCATTGGCAATTCCTAATGTTAGCTTTCTGACCAGTCCAGCTATTTGTCCAAATCTGTAGTCTTCTGCTTTAAATTAACATCCTATTTTAGTGGGGTTTTTTGTCTTCCATATTTTCTCATGAAGTGTATTCGATTAACTTCATAACTGTAACATTAAAGGGACATTGTAGGCACCCAGACCACTTCAGCTCATTGAAGTAGTCTGGGTGCTGTGTCCCTTTTGCACTTAGTGCTGCAATATAAAACACTGCAGTTCCAGAGAAACTACAATGTTTACATTGCAGCTCTAAATCTGCCATCTGTGGCTGTCTAACAGAAAGCCACTAGAGGACTTCCAGAATCCAAACAGACTTTTGGTCCATTATCTGACGCTGGATATCTTCACGGTTCTCCGGCGTCAGATTTTCCCCATGGGAAAGTATTATTCATGCGCATTAGGTCTCCACCGCCGATGTCAGGAGCAGGGGCGGAGCCTGAACAAGCACGCCGAAGGACATTGGCGATGGATTCAGGTAAGTGGCTGAAGGTGTTTTATCCCCTTCAGCCCTGCGGGAGGGTGTCTCCGAGGGAGGGGGATGACCAAATAACTCTCTAGTGATAGGAAAACAGAGGCAAAATCAGTCAAGCTTCACACCTCTTAAAGGACCACTATAGACACCCAGACCACTTCAGCTCAATCAAGTGATCTGGGTGCCAGGTCGTTCTAGGGTTAACCCTGCCTGCTGTAAACATAGCAGTGTCAGAGAAACTGCTATGTTTACATTAGGGTTAAACCAGCCTCTAATGGCTGTCTCATTGACAGCCGCTAGAGGCACTTCCGCACTTCTCACTGTGATTTTCACAGTGAGAAGACACCAACTTCCATAGGAAAGCATTGAGAATGCTTTCCTATGAGACTGGCTGAATGTGAGCATTCAGAAAATGAAATCAGAAGAGGGAGAAGAGTCCCAGCGCCGAGGGAGCCAGGCGCTGGAAAAAAGGTAAGGGATTAACCCCTTCCTCCCCCTTCAGCGCCACAGGAGTGGGACTCTGAGGGTGGGGGCACCCTCAGGGCACTATAGTGCCAGGAAAACGAGTTTTCTCTTGTTTTGTTAATAGCTTGCTAGACCATGCAGGAACCTCCTGTATTAGATTAAAGTTAAAATTACAGAGCAGAGCAGGAGATTCAAACTTTTAAAGTATGTTACATCTGATTGAAAATGAAACCATGCCTCAAAGGAGGCATGGCTAGGATAGCATAAACAAAAAAAAAGTGATTTAACTCCTAAATGGACGAGAATTGAGAAGTGAAACTTTAGAGGCGTGTTCTATACACCAAAGCTGCTTCATTTAGCTAAAGTGGTTTCGGTGACTATAGTGTCTCTTTAAGTAAAAAGGCCTCAGTTTTATCCATGAGAGAGCTGCAAAATATTGATATGGAACATCTAATTCAGCGTTTCCCAATTGGTGTTCCGTGGAACCCAATTGCTGTTCACGGAATCTGGTGAGTTTCAATGTGAAAAAACTGAAACACAAGCCTTATATTTGACTCTGTAACTTTTGAAAACACCATAAAACCTTTACATGAGGGGTACTGTTATATTTAGGAGACTTCGCTGAACATAAATGTTACTGTTTCAAAACCATAAAACGTATCACAACAATTGTCAGTGTAAGTGCCGTTTGTGTGTGAAAAATGCAAAAAATGTCACTTTCACTGATGATATCATCGTTGTAATATATTTTACTGTTTTGAAACACTAATATTTGTGTTCAGCGAAATCGCCTGAGTAAAACAGTACCTCCATGTACAGCAAGCATATCAAATTCAAAGTGTGGCATGGGCCATATAAACAAGGTTTAAGTTTATGTGGGCCGCACACACACACATACTCACTGACAGACACACACACATACTCACTGACAGACAGACAGACACACACACACACATACTCACTGACAGACAGACACACACACACACACTGACAGACACACACACATACTTAAAGACAGACAGACACATACAGACACACTGATAGACAGACACATGCTCACCTACAGACACACACACACTCACAAACAGACAGACATACACACACATAGACACACACACATACAGTCACACTGACACACACTGACAAACACACACACATACACATACTCACTGACAGACACACACATACTTGCTGACAGACACACACACTGACACAGACACACACACATGCTTGCTGACAGACACACACACTCACTGACAGACACTCACACACTCACTGACAGACACACATACTTGCTAACAGACACACACACATACTCACTGACAGACACATACTCACTGACAGACACACACACAGATAGACACACACACACACACACTCACTGACTGACAGACACACACACATACTCACTGACTGACAGACACACACATACTTGTAAGGTTTAGCAGAGTAGGCATCTGCAATATGGGGAAAGCAGGTGCCTACTCTGCTATAACACTCAGCATGCACTCGCGGCTCGCTGGGCCGCAAAGATGGTCCTTCTGGGCCGCATGCGGCCCGCCGGCCGTGAGTTTGACATGCTTGATGTACAGGTTTTATGGTGCCTTGGAAAGTTACAGGGTTAAATATAGTGCTCAGCGGTGCCTGCACATAAAAGTGTCCACTTTTAGTGCACTGATTCCGGGCTGAGAACTGCTGGCTGTCCAGGGAGCTCCATAACACTGCCACCTAGTGGCCGCTAATTGTAACTGCGGCCACCCAGTAATAGTCAATTAAGCTGCGGTTAACCGCATCTACTGGGTGGTCAATTGACTGCACGTGCCAGCTTCAGGGAGGTGATTTGAAGGCACACGCCAGCTTCCCGGTGGTCGCGCCTATTGCTCTCGTCACATCTCTCCCCTTTTCCAGACAGACTAACAGGGTATCTGACCTATTGCCGGTCAGTGCCCTGGTTAGTCCAGCAGCCCACCCACGAAACACAAACAGTAATATAGCCCACCCACAATAAATGGTTACTATACCTGGGTAAGGGAGAAACTTGTCCATGTCCAGGTGCCTCACCATGGCTGTGTGGGGGACTGGTAGGCTGCCTTGGTGGGTTGCTGAGTGGGCAGAGACCAGCGTGGAAGTAGCCTGGTTGCTGGAGGGGGAGACCAACTGTCTCCCCTTTAGATACACAGCTCTGCTGCTGGAGGGGGAGACCAACTGTCTCCCCTTTGGCTAAACAGCCCTGTCGCTGGGGAGCAGGACCAACCGTCCCTACCCCATGTGCTGTAAGTGCAGAGACCACAGTCCCATCTGCACGGTTGTGGGGCTTACTGTCTCCCCTGGGTATGTCAAGCTGCCGCTGGGGAGAGGGGGTAACAAGCTCCTCTCCCATATATACTTCCAGCTGCGGGGGAGGGAGACCGACTGTCTCCGCTCCCAATACAGAATCCTGCTGCTGGGGAAAGGAGACTGGGCTCTCTATTCCCTGTAGGACACTCTGCCACTGGGGGACAGGACCAACTGTCCCTGCCCCCTTTAACTCACTCTGCCACTGGGGAAAGGAGACTGGGCTCTCAATTCCTTGCAGATCACACTGCCGCTGGGGAGAGGGGGTAGCAAGCTCCTCTCCCGTACATACTTCCAGCCTCTGGGGAGGGAGACAGACTGTCTCCGCTCCCAATACAGTGTCCTGTTGCTGGGGAAAGGAGACTGGGCTCTCTATTCCCTGTAGGACACTCTGCGGCTGGAGGACAGGACTCTCTGCCTCTGTCTCTGCCCCCTGTAACTCAGCCTTCCGCTGGGGAATGGAGACTGGGCTCCCAATTCTCTGCAGGACCAGTAGAGAGACCTCGGTCCCATCTCCACCAGCCACCTGGGGTTCTTCCCAGTAAAACTCTACTATCTCGTCCCAGCTGAATGGGTCTGGCTCTGGGTCTGTCACTCTGCTCTCCTGCTGAGCCTTCGCACTGGAGTGGAACAGCTGCTGGTAGCCCTGTTCTAGCTCGATCTCCCGGGTAACCAGGTGGACCAGGTCTTGCTCAATCTCGTGAGTGGCGTCCCAGTCATACCTGCTCTCTGTCCGCTCAAAGAGATCACAGAACCAGGCTTGTCTAGGGCTCCCAAACTCCAGCTCTGAAAAAGTCTCCCATAACAAGCCAGGACCATCAAACTCCTCTCCCTCTGGCTTGTCATGCTCGGCTGTCCAGGGCAGGTACTGCGCCCCATACCGCCAGAGCACCTGGTAGGCATCTTCAAGCCACATCTCCTGCCATACCCGGAGCTCCAATTCCTTCACCCATTTCTCCAGGGGCTGCTCTCCCAGGAAGGGCATCCGCAGGGCTAGTCGCTTCTGCAATTGCTGGTCTTCCTTGGGGAGTCTCTCGCCCCGCTGGTACTCTGCAATACCCAGTGCCTGGTACTAGATGCCTTTTCGGACTGCATCTCGGTCATTCATGACACCCTCATCGTACTCCACTGCTGGTTCCATCCCGGTGCTGTCAGGGTCGCTGTACTGAGACATGCGTTGCCCTCAAATTG